TTGTTTGCCAACAGTTGGGCTGTGGAAGAGGATTATCCATTCAAAGCTCTGCTTATTTTGGAGAAGGATCTGGCCCTATCTGGCTGGATGATGTGAACTGCACAGGAACGGAAACGGCCCTTTCCAAATGCCAGAGCCGTCAATGGGGAGTCCATAATTGTAGGCATGGAGAAGATGCTGGTGTTGTGTGCTTGGGTAAGTCTCATTTATATCACCATCAGTTTGTGGCAGGTGGAATGATGTTGGAATTACCCTTGGATATCCTCTTCCCTCTCCTTTGACACTAAAACCAAGAGCTGTACAAAGTATTTCAAGCAGGGAGGTGGATGAATTCATGGATGTTCCTCTCTGCTTGCCATTCAATATCTAATTTTAACACTGTGGTGTTGCAGTCTAGTATGCTACAGGTGCAGAAGAATTTAAATTTGAGCCTTTTTCCCCTGTGGGCTACTGGTAAGCCTAATGATATTGCAGGACTGGTGTGATTCCACCTCTTGCAGAGAACAGCGTGCTGAATCTCCTAGGCTCTTCTATTGCCATCTGTGATAACCCAGATGAATTTATCACACTATTTTCAAATATCACTCTCTGTCCATTATATCCCTTAAACACCTTTGTCATTCTTTTAATCCTCTATACAATTAGTTTTACTTTCCAAATGTGGTAAATTTTTGCCTTGCGCTTACTGGAGACAATCTGGTTTTCTGTGGTGACTTGTAGGCACCTTGGAACAATATGGATGAGCCCCTGGCTAAACGTAGGTGCCTGCCACTGAGTTCAACATACTGGCTTCCCTTTGCAGCCAATAAAGTCAAATTAGTGCAGTCCAGGGTGGGATTTGGCCCACCTGGATGTAAGTGTCTGAAGGAGATAAAAGGAATCGCAGCCCAGCAGGGCATGTTGACAATAAAGGGAACAGAGGTCCTGAGCTGAGGTGCAAGACTGAGGTTTAGTTGTCTAAACATGCATGCACGGTGTCATCTGAGGTACCCTGGGCCACCCCAGCCAGTTTCTAACTGCAGATCCAGAAGAACATCAGGTCTGCAGGCCCCATCTCCATGTCTGGGGTTCCCTGTGTGTCTCAAATGACACCAACTCCCCATGCTCAGGAAAGCAAATCAGCCCCTAAGAGTTTAAGGTTAGGTCCAAGCCTAGCTAAGGTGAATTGTATCCCAGTTTCCTCACAATATTGTCTAAAGAACTCTTTCCATTTTTTTTTTTTGGACTAAAACCCTTTACTTGTTCAGGTTATTTGCCTGAGCACAGGTATCTCCAGGTATCTCTTTAGTGAAAGACAGAGGGGGATAGTGGTTTTAAGCACGTCAAATTTTGGAGTCATCTCCATCAATATATACCTTCTTTCTTCAATTCCAGACAGCTCCTTCCCTTGACCTTTTTTTGGGCAATGCAGTGGTGCTATATCAGCAGGCACCATGCCATACGATGGGAGAGCAAGGAAGACCCCAGCTCTGCCTGGTTTCCCAGTAGCACAAGGCATGGATCCCTGCATCTGGATACAGGGTCATATGAAGCAGAAATTGCGGAAAATCTTGCCTACTGGAAGCTTCCAGTGCCAATGCCCCAAAAACTTGCCAAGTCCTGTAATTAGACACAAAGTCATGAAGGGTCAAGAATGGGGAAAATGCGGTGAAGGCTTTTCCTTTCCCCATGCTCTTTGTCACCGTAGATCATACTAAGCCAATGGGTGCATGCTCTTCGCTGATTTAAGGAAGACCAGTTAGCAGGAATCTTTGCAAAAAAATAATTTACCTTGTCTTACTTTTGGGGTTCAGGTGTTCCAGAACCGGCCCCCATCCGACTGGTGAATGGTTCAAACTTCTGCTCTGGGAGAGTCGAGGTGTTTCGGGATGAGCAGTGGGGAACAGTCTGTGATGATGGATGGGATTTAACGGATGCTCAAGTGGTGTGTCGACAGCTGGGATGTGGGACAGTAGTCTCAGCCCACGGCTCCGCTCGCTTTGGACAAGGAATTGGCCAGATTTGGCTGGATGATGTGAATTGTGCAGGAACCGAGACTGCCCTCTCCGATTGCCGGGCCAGACCTTGGGGAAACCACAACTGTGACCATGGGGAGGATGCTGGCGTGACGTGCTCAGGTGCTGTTGTGTTAATTCATGCCCTTTAATGTTTCAAGTAATGGGATTGTGTTTGTGGGAAGGGTGTCTGTGACCAAACTTACGCTACTCTTGAGCGCAATACAACAGGAGTAGAACCAGTGCTATTTTAGACATTTTAAGGGATCCAAGACATCCATATGCTCCAATGCTCCACAGAGCACTGGAACAGGCTGCCCAGAGAGGTTGTGGAGTCTCCTTCTCTGGAGATCTTCCAAACCCTATTGGACGCAGTCCTGTGCCACGTGCTCTAGGTGACCCTGCGTGTGCAGGGGCTTGGACTACATGACCTCTAGAGGTCCCTTCCAACCTTAAGCATTCTATGATTCTATGATTCTATGATATTTTGCTGGGGAATATGACAGAAGACTTATAGAAGACCTGTGCTCTGGAGAAGTGACAAGAAATCAGGCAAAATACACAGGCGTGTGTATTGAGATGGATGGACCCCATCTGCAGTACGGGTCAAGAGGGGAGAGGGAAGATGCTCCAGAGCGTTGAGAATGTGAAGCTCCCTGAACATTTTTTCCATGGCTTTATGTTTTGGCCTAGGTATTGCAGAACCAGCTTCCATCCGGCTGGTGAACGGCCCGAGTCGCTGTGCCGGGAGAGTGGAGGTGTTTCGGGACGAACGGTGGGGAACGGTGTGTGATGATGGCTGGGACCTCCCCGACGCCAACGTGGTGTGCAGGCAGCTGGGATGCGGGAAGGCTCTATCAGCCCCCGGCTCCGCTCATTTCCGACAAGGATCCGGCCCCATCTGGCTGGATGACGTGGATTGCTCGGGGAGCGAAGCCGCCCTGTCCGAGTGTAGAGCCCGGTCCTGGGGATCCCATAACTGCAATCACGGAGAAGACGCTGGTGTAGTGTGCTCAGGTAATCCCTGTCTGTATCTTGGTTTTGACGGCATTGGAGAACATGGAGAAATGTTTCTCACCCTCAATGGATGGTCATCCCTGAGTTAATGCTACTTCTAGTGTGTTTAAACCTGTTTCCAGGAAGCTAATGAGCCTCATGTCCCTTGCCATGACTCTCAGTCATGATATCTACGATGTCTCTGGTGTCAATAGGGTTCAAACGTAGGGAATTGATGTGTCCTTACCTACGTGGGTTGCTTTTTGTCCAGGTGTTCCCGAACCGGCTCCACTCCGGTTGGTGAATGGCCCAACGCGCTGCGTTGGGAGAGTTGAAGTGTTGCACGGCCAACGGTGGGGAACGGTGTGTGATGACGGCTGGGACCTGAGCGATGCCACGGTGGTGTGCAGGCAGCTGGGGTGCGGGACAGCCGTATCAGCTCCAGGTTCAGCTTACTTCGGACAAGGTTTTGGCCGTATCTGGCTGGATGATGTGAGATGCTCCGGTACGGAATTTGCCCTGTCCGAGTGCTCAGTGAGGCCTTGGGGAGTCCATAACTGCAATCACGGAGAAGACGCAAGCGTTGTGTGCTCAGGTAATCTTCATCCATGTCCTGTTTTACTAGGCATTAGCATATACTAAACTTCTAGGATGGATGTTGGGGCTGATGACTTCAATCTTTCCCAATCCTTTCTGTTTCAGTCAAGTATTACTGGGTGATGATGAAGTTATGGTGGAATATATGGAATAATACCCATCTTTCCACAAAGCAGTTCATTTTTCCTATTTGAATTTTTTTTAATATCACAGGAATATTATATACAAGCTACTAATTTTCTGTTAGCTACATGTCAGTGGCTTTGCAGGATAAAGGAGACTACTTTTACGGATCTTGGTTGCCTATATTTCCTTCCAGGTAGGATCTAAACCTCACAGATGTTCCAGATGGAGAATGGATAAACTCTCACTCAGCTTTGTCTCTGGTGCATTCAGCAGACTCAACTTCATGACCCTCGGAAACATTCCCTCCAAATCTTGAGATGTTTCCGTGTTTTTCCTCACCTTCCATTTTAAAAAATGTAGACAGTTGACCTGCACTTGCTGTTCCTGGAAGTCTGTCTGATGCTCTGCATATAGATCATACCCAGCTTCATCATACATCTATTCTGCACAGAATGTCACTGGGTTGGACATCATCCAAGAGCAGATCATCGGAGCTGTTTTAGACCTTTCTTACCATGGGAGCGTCCTCCAGGTGGAGGCAGAAGAGAGGAACCATCCACCAGTCCTGACTGTAATAGAAGTTTGAGTTTGAGACTTCCAAATTAGGGAAAAGGAAACCCATCTTACGCTGCCAATATTGAGCTGAAATCCTTAGTTCTTTGCTTCGCTAAAATAAATCATGCTGAGAGGCATAAAGCCTTTATTTATTTCTATTTATTTATTTATTTATTTATTTTTCAGGGCGACAAATCACAACACAACTGTGTTGGAGGCTGAAGTTCGCCTGGGCACTCTAACAAGGGGCAATTGCTTGCAAAGTACCAGCTTTTTTTTTTTTTTCCGTAGGAAGAAGGAAAGAAAAGGAGCAAATTGTGCCCCTGTTGAGGGAAGGAGGACAGGGCTCTTTGGTCCCCTCTAGGGAGGCACAGAAAAAACGTTTGGAAATAAGCTCACGCTATGCAGTGTCCAATATCATCTCCAAGGCTCGTATGACTGCTCTTTTTGTCACCAGTGTGAAACAGTGGAGGCAAATATTTCTCAGACAGGTTTTAAGCTTTGGAGGAACTTTATTGATACTCGGTGATGTTTGCTTTTTGGTGGGAATAATTTGTTTCGCTTGGTTTTCAACCAGTGCAATTAAAACCAGGTCTATGGTTCCTCCAAGGGGTGAGAGAGAACGGTTTTGCCAAGCCGTGGATCCAATCGTATCACATCGATGGTTCTGTAACGTCCTTCCCCTTCCCCTTTCAGTTGGGTCTTGCTGGTCCATTTCCTGCTACAAAGTCATCATGGCCTGGGGGGGCCGGTGGAGGTCTCATGTTCTTCCAGCTCCTCCAAGTTCTTATTAACTGCAAAGAAAGGGAACACGGTAGAGCAAGATCTGCCTCAGGAATACTCTGACACTAGAATTTCCAGGTATAAGTGACCCACACTCTGCTCCCGAAGAAGGTCTTTGAGTTAGATCATACCAATACGATTGGGTCAGTTCACGAAGGGCACCTTGCCATATACAAAGCTTCCTTCTCAGGATCTTCCCAGTAGGACTCATCCCGGGTTGCCACTCATGTTTGTCTCTGCTGTTGCCTCTCTCCCACTAGCTGGTTCTTCACACCCACCAAAGCCATCCTAAGCAGATAATACATTCTCTGTATGTCCCTTCCTGCACCATTTTCCATATCTTGATTAGCAGATAATCCATTCTCCTTCCTGCATCATTTTCCATGTCTTGATTAACATTATTCTGTGAGGAATGTTCCTCCTTTGTGTTTCCCTTTTGTCCCCTGCAGTCCATCCTGCTGGACCTGCCAGAACCACTCTCACAGCACTACAGACGCGTTAGCAATCAGCAATTACCTGCACAAATAACATCAGCATCTTCTCCGTGATAGCAGTTGTGTTCGCCCAATGGCCTGGCCGGGCAGTCGAAGATGCTCTCTTCCGTCCCCGTGCAATTTACATCGTCCAGCCAGATGAT